CAAGACACACCCAAGAGGAGAACAGGGAATTTGAACAGTCAAATTATCTGATAGTATACAATGTTACTGTGCTATAGAAATGTTAAGGTGTTTGAAAAAGCTTGTAACATTCTGAACTCTGTGTTCATTATGAACTCTGTATGCGGGCTGTGGTTATGAATGCATGTATTTGTGTATATTAAAAACTATGCTCCTAATTTATGCTGCTGTGTTCAGCTCCAGCTGACAGCAGGATGGTGAGCAGTCGGAGGGAAGGTCTGCCTCCCCAGGCACAGGAGACTAGCACCAAGCACCTAGCATTGTACAACACAGGAAAAGATGAATGAAGGACCATTAAAGTTAATGAGGAAACACTGAGACATCCAGGCTTACAAGACAGGAGAGAATTTTCCCCACTATGAATAACTCTGAATCACCATGCCAGGAAAAAAAGGGGGGAATGGAAGGTCAGGGTGGGGAGGCTCTTAAGAAGGAGGAGAAATTTTCATACCGAATCTGAGGGACAGTCACTTGCAGGTGCTGTCTATGAAACACTGGATCCTCTCTGGAACTGGGAGTACATTGGGAAGCTGTTTGGGTAACTTGAATCAGAAAAGGCAGTTTATCTAATTTGAAAAGCCGGAGGTTTCATTTTATCCTAGCCAGTTCTTGCATGTACAAACTCTCTAGAGCAGGGGTGCGCAAATTTCAGACCGCGGGCCAGATCCAGTCTGCAGGCCACACCTGCCAGCGCCACTTCTCTCCTCCTGCAGAGCTCAAAACAGCAGACTGCAGAAGGGCTTGTCGCACATGGTCAGCTTGGCAATCCCTGTACTATACAGCAGGAGCCGACGGAGCCATGGCAGACCCCAATGCTCCCTCTGAGTCTCCCATGGATGCCAGCACTCCTGCAGCAATCCTCATCTGCCATTGGTCAGGGATGCAGGAGAGCTCTGGCCTGGATTTCTGTGGAGATTCTGGACCTAATTGAGGTCTATGGGGAGGAGACCAAGCTGCAGGATTTGTGCACCAGAAAGAGGAATGCCAATGTGTATGGCTGGATGGCTGCCAGCCTGGCAGACAAGGGCCACAACTGGATCCTCGACCAGGTCTAGATGAAGATAAAAGAGCTCCAGTAGGCTACAAGAAGGCCAGGGAGCAGAGCAGATGCTCCGGGGAGGCACCACACACATGCCGCTACTATGAATAGCTCAATGCCATCCAGGGAGGAGGGGCCAGTCACCTCTCCTCCCCATTGCCATTGAGTCTGGCCATGACACACCTGGCTTCAGACTCCATAAGGATGGGGTTGCAGATGATGATGAGGAAGACCAGGAGGAGGCTAGGTAGATGACCATGCCCACCAGTGAGGACCTGCTCCTCACCTTGGAGCCAGACCCCCTCCCAGGATGTCTCCCAGGCTTAGGACGAATCTAAGGAAGGCACTTCTGGTGACTTCTATCACTTTCCTTATACAAACAACGGGGTGGCCAACTGACTGTGGGGGCTACATGCTCCTTGCTTGGCCTTCTTGGCCTAGGGATTGCACAATAGCCTGTGCATGTGAGTGCATGTTGAGCACCAGTCCGGAGCACTCAGCTCCATGACGCTCTCACACTGGTACCCCTCGGTCTTTCTCACAAGGTTCCTGGAGAAGCTTGCCTTACTCCAGCCTCTGTGGTGGGACACCTTCCCACAACAAGCCACCACTAAGGAGCCTGGATCATGGAACCACACAGCCATGCCGCGCACAGCACAGGGTCATGCCCACACTCAAGCAGCATTCACTCCCAGTCAATCATAGCAATGTGGAGGAGACTGATCCTGTGCATAGGAACTGTTCAGAAGAAGGAAGAGGAAGGGACCCTAGTAGCACTCTCTCCAGCAAGCGGCCTTTGCCGCTCACACACACTTCCGCCAACTCCCCCATCCCCATTTACCATGGGCAGGGAAATAAGTTCTCTCTTTGCGGGATGCTGTCAGTGCCAAATCCGGTGTGTGCGGGACACAGAGGGAAGCCGACTTGTCCCATCTCCCACACCTCCCACTTGTAGGCTCCTGGCCTGGCTGGCACCTTCCCATGTGTGCTTGTCCCTGGGCCGTGGGTGTAGCAAAACTTCCCTGGAACATTCATGCTCCTGAAGGAAAGTGCCTGCTGTCTAGGCAACATATGGCCTTGCTTGAAGCATATCACCATCATCTGAACCAAGACCTTCAATGTCAGCTAAGAGATTAGGGCTAGGCTTCATACACACTGGGTATGTCTACACTACAAAGTTAGTTCAAACTAACGGACGTTAGTTCGAACTAACTTTGATAGGCGCTACACTAGTGCTCCATTAGTTCGAACTTAATTCGAACTAGCGGAGCGCTTAGTTCGAACTAGGTAAACCTCATTTTACGAGGATTAAGCCTAGTTCGAACTAGCTAGTTCGAATTAAGGGCTGTGTAGACCCTTAATTCGAACTAGTGGGAGGCTAGCCCTCCCCAGGTTTCCCTGGTGGCCACTCTGGCCAACACCAGGGAAACTCTATTGCCCCCCTCCCGGCCCCGGAGCCCTTAAAGGGCCACCTTAGTTCGAACTAGGTAAACCTCATTTTACGAGGATTAAGCCTAGTTCGAACTAGCTAGTTCGAATTAAGGGCTGTGTAGACCCTTAATTCGAACTAGTGGGAGGCTAGCCCTCCCCAGGTTTCCCTGGTGGCCACTCTGGCCAACACCAGGGAAACTCTATTGCCCCCCTCCCGGCCCCGGAGCCCTTAAAGGGCCACAGGCTGGCTACACAGTTTGTGCCAGTTGCAAGGCTGCCAGCACCCGTGCCAGCAGACCCTGCA